ATATATATATATATATATGGAGGTGTGTGTGAAAGATATGCAACGTGGTTGATGCTTTGCTCAAAACCGTATGTATCAAATAAACTGCGTTGGCTAGCTTAATTGTCTGAGAAGCACAACAATATATATTCGCGTGATAAAAATATAAATCATGGAAACATGTACTTGTTTCTTTCCCTTTTTTTCTTTACGTTAAAAAGCTATATATGTCGTAGTAGATCATATGATAAATGTTGTTTCTTTTGATTAAGCAGCACTGAAGACATGGGATTTGAAAGAAAACATAAAAAAATAATAGAAATAATAGTAAAATGAAACCAATTTTGTTTCCAAGGTTTTCCATTCTAGGTCTGATTTTTCTTCAGCTAGTGTTTTCAAGGAAATCTGGCTATGATCGAAAAATTATTCTATCATTTATATATATATATATTATTTGTTTCAGGATTCGCCAAATTTTATGAGTACCCCCTACTCAATTCCAAATATTCTGATTTTTTACTTTTAAATTTTTATTAACTTTAGTTGTGCCCCCATTTTATAACTAAATTTATTTAGTGAATAAGCTATATAAATATGTCTATATTCAATTCGAAAATGTCTATACTTTTCTCATATATAGTATCTCCATATTATTTCTGGCTCCGCCACTATTTGTACACATGAGTTAATAGATATGTGCTTGTATGTAATAGAGAGGCACAAAATGGAGAGAGATGAGTTTCTTCACTCATATTGCACAACCATATTTTTACAAAAATATATATGTCAATATCCCAAAACATAAGGATATGCATGATTTCCAACATATGATCAAACCCGATCATAACAATATTAATACTACATACGTACGTACCAATTATATTAAACCTGCTTCTCAATATGAATATCGGTCGATTTATAGTATTAATATCTCGCCTCTATTTCTCTTTTCCCTTAATTTCTCTCACTTTGTATTCACTTCTCAAATATGCATATTCCGAAACCACAGTCGTCCGAGCTTGATGAGTTCAAGAACGCACTCAACTTATTATCTCTAGTACTACTTTGCAAGAACATAAACGACGTCGTATCCAAATCCTGGTTCACCCCAAAGCCAGAATCTCCATCGTGATCATGATGACCTTCCACAAACCGGCCGTGATGATCATCTTGATCATGACTCAACTGCGAAGCGACAAACTTATCCAAATCCCTCCAATCAGTCACTTTTTTTGCCGCACTATTAATATTGTTGTTGTTGTTGTTGCTGCTGCTGCACCCTAATTTGTTGATGATCTGATCGTGTTCTTGATCTAATTCGTTAATCTCCGATATAAGCGACACCGAGCTAGCTGGCCTTTTTATCAAGGAAAGAGAAGGGCTTTCCAGCTGAGGAAGCTGAACAAATGGATCAGTAGTACTAGTAGTACTGCTTTGCTGCATAGTCATCAAAGTACTACTCAAGTTATCGCCTTCTAACTCTTGCTTGCACATGAAATTTTGGCTGCTGCCTAAGAAGTTCTGTGGCTGCCTTGACATGTAATGATCGATTGGATCGACCACGGAGCTCACTCCGCTTGGTTCGTCGTAAAAGTAGTTCGATTCCCATCCTTCAATGGTCTTGTTTTGGCTGTTCGCCATTCGCTTCTTGAAGGCTCTGCATACCACCCATCCTTCTTCCTGCAAAACACTTAACCATACTTGATATAAGAAAAAAAAAGCAAATCTACACATAAAAAGTTTTATCACTTTTTCAACTTGTAAAGCTTGTCGTATAAAGTGGTGGCAAATGCCGGTTTAGTCTAATGGTAATTCCACACCTACCTTAAAATTAAGGTCTTGAGTTCAAATCTCACCCTTAATTAAAAAAATAAATAAAAATATCGCATATAAGCATATGTAGGAGGATATAATATGATATTTGTTTTATATTTTTATTTTGAGGAGAGAAAAATAAAGAGGGTTAATTATAATTAGCTAATGAACCTTTTTTTTTTTTGTTTTTTTTGGAGGAAAAAGAAGGTTTGAACTCTTTTTCTCTAGTGAGATATTTGCTTTCGGCTTTTGTGTTGAGTCAAATATTTTCTTTTCGGGTTAGGTAAAGAGAGATATCGATCAGGACGTAGATGTCAAAAGTGACGGAGGAATAGGAAATGGAAATTTTCTTTTGACGAACAAAATGAAGAGAGAGCCGTACTGAAAAAGGAATTGGAAGACAGAATATTACGTGCTTTTGAAAGCACTTAATTATTTACTTTTTTGACTTAAAAGACTTGTTTGGTGGAAGTCATCTTCCAAAAAAACGAAGTGATTCATATATATTTCAGGGACATAATATTAGTGGTTAACAACTCCACACACACACACACACACACACACACACACACACACACACATATATATATATGGACTCAAGCAAAAGACTGTTTCTGGTAAATGATCTTACTTGGATGATGTAACATCAACATCAACGATATATACATACATATATATAATGATATATATATATATGTGTGTGTGTGTGTGTGTATGTATATAATAAGGTGTGTGTGTTTATGTACCACATAAATATTTCATTAATAGATAGAAAATAACAAGAAAAAAAAAAGTGTGACGATATGATATATTTTCTGGGTCATATACTTGTTATATGTATGGATATGAACCTTTAATAATATATATACAAGACAAATTAGTAGCAAAATTTTATATCTTCCCAGATAAAAATGGAAGGAAAAGTTAGATACAATCGACCACTACATTAAGGTCAATTAAGATGATCGATATTATGATGCTAGATTAAAGCTTCAGATTTGATTTTTTACAAGATCATTTGTTCTCCATTATTACTGATCCGATATTACTATTAATAGCACTAATCTTACTATAATTAGTAGCACTACATGCTTATTGGCTGGAGATCAAAGATAATCATGATTATGTATATTGTATTAGTATGTAGTACTAGTACTTGCCTGTGGAGGACCATTCTCGTCGGATTCAAGTCTATATTCATGCATGATCCAGTCACTCTTCTGTCCATTAGGAGCCCTCCCTTTGTAGAAGACAAGGGTTTTTCTCATTCCAATAAGCCTGCTCTTATCATACACCGCCTTGTCCCTCCCCGTGGCCTTCCAGAACCCGGCCATTGTCGCCCGGTTTGTCCTCGTCCCGGTCGGATACTTCTTGTCCTTGTGGCTGAAGAAGTACCATTCATTCTGCTCTTCATATCCGATCCGACATCTCTCTATAACAACATGATGATCATGTTATTACAAAAATTGTATCAAATATGTAACTGAAACCCTAGTTGTAATATTAAGAGAATATTATCTATGGATATAATAAATATGTATTATACCTTGGAGATCCCATGGCTCGATTCTGTAGAGATCAATGTCTCTGATGACATCAAGATCGATCTTCTGAGAAGCGACTTTCTTCCTCAGATAATAGCCGACGAGCTCCTCGTCCGTCGGATGAAACCGGAATCCGGGAGGAACGGAACTGGACTCCATCATGTATAGTTATTCTCTGCGGCCGGTACTAGTAGTGGTACTAGAACTGCATCAAATTCACCACCACTATACCTTAGCTTATTACTCCATATCATCCTTAAATCATAACGATGTCAAGTTATAGAGAGAGAGAGAGAGAGAGAGAATTTCTGGTGAAAAAGGTAAAAAGAAAGGGGAAACTTTGTTAAAAGAAAAAAAAACATATATAATAAAGTAATTCTAAAAGGGAATATAATTAATTAAGGAACCTTCCAATTTATTATGTAGGTGACAAGTGTTATCAGAGATAATCATCAGCTCATTTGGTGGTGAGCTTAACAACACCCTTCCTTTTAATTTGTTTATTTATTTATTCCTTCCTCTGATATTAGCTATAGTATATGAGCGCGTGTTACAAAACAAAGACCTAATTATGAAATAAAAGTTTTTGACCTTGGGGATCGATATATAAATAAAATAAAATAAGAGGGCTAGCTAGGGGGTGAAAAGGTGAAGAAAACCAAATCATGAGAGTTTTTTTTTTTTTTTTTTGTTGATAGAAACCAAGAATTGGGAGTTGGAGATGAATTAGGTGCCTATCTGTTTTTTGTGCTGAGGAGCCTGAGAGAGAAAACGGACAACTAGAGGTTTGTGCTAATGATGTTGTCTTGTGTTGGTGAATGGTAGAAATGATGCATCAAGAACGGGATTTCTAATATAATATTACACTTAAAAAAAAGGAAATTATTAATTTCTCAACAAATTAATCCTCCATGCGAGAAAGATCCCCCAAACCCAACCAAAAAAAAAAGTGAGCTCAGAGATCTAAATTAAAAAAAAAAAAAAAGAGACAAATTGGAGTTTGAAATATAAATATACATATTATATATATATATATATATATGTATAATTGGTTTATAAAATGGCGAAATATATATAGAGAGAGGGAGTGTGGATGACGTTATCACAATTAAGCACGCGTAGGTTTCTCGAAAGAGAAAAGGAAAAGGAGGAAAAGGATATATATAAAATATGTGGTTTTGTAAATATATAAGGATATTGGAGGTGCCAAATTAAGTGAAGGCTTAACCTGTAGTTGATGTTGGAGAAGGAGCGAGTTTATATGGAAAAGGAAATGACACTGAGTCCGTGGTCTCAATATTGTTGAAACGGGACTCTCAACTCTGACTCTCTTGTCTTTTTGTCGAGAATTTCCATGGCACACATTATAATGATATTATATCTGACCCATTTCTCTTTTCTCTTTCATGTATATGTGTATATATAGACATATACATATATGAATAAGACTCAGAGCACAAAAATTCTGACCAAAAACAGGATAACATTTTATTCCTTTTCACTGTTAGTAGTACTCCTGTTTTCGAGACTACTAATTATGCATTTCAGTTTTCATTAGGGTTTCCTAAAGAAAAAGAGACAAAAGAGATCAGGGTTGGCTCAAATTAATGTTTCTCAGACTACACTTTAACCTGCAGCTTTGGAGAACAAATTATGAAGAGCCCAAGTGAAGAGCTTCAGGAGAATATATCTATATATATATATATATATAGTAGGTTTGTATGTATCCTTAATCAAGGAAAAAAGTGTTAAAAATTATATATATATTTCTTTTACTAATCATCTTCGTTATATATATATATATATTCGATCTTTCTTCAGGTAATTCTCTTAATTCCAGAAGCTAGCTAATATTAGTAGTACTAAAACCCTACTCGGGCTAGCTAGCTGAACCAACGACATCAATTCCAGAAGGTTTTTTACTTGGATTTGAGGGAAAAAAAAAAAAAAAAAAACCAGAAAAGTGGAGAAACAGGAAAAAGACTCAAATATATATACAGCTAGCCAGCCAAAAACAAAACAAAACAAAACAAAACTTCGCTGGGCTTCAGTTAATTAATGTATTTAGGAAGGAGAGAGAGAGGAAGACAACAGCTATAATATAGCATCATCTCAGGAATATGAAGGATGACAAGAATTACGAAGATATATAAAAAGGACATTATATTATTGTCCATTTTTTTTAAAAAAAAGGGGATTTGTTTGTTTGTTATGATCAAACACAAAGGGTATTAATTTTTCCAATTCCCATGCATGCAATGGATCGGGACTAGAAAATAAATTCATACCTGCTGCTTCGGTTGGTCTGTTGGTTGTTTTAGCTCGTTATAAAGACAGCAATTTTACAATGAAGAAGATCAGAAAAATAAGACAAATTATTATAAGAAGGATGAAGAAGAAGAAGTAAACAAGAACAAGTTATGGAAGATGAAAAAGAATAGTAGGAGAGAGAGAGAAATGGGGAGATAAGAAAAATCCGTTAGAGCTAGGGAAGTGAGAGAAGGAGAGAGAGAATATAAAAGGAGGAAGTGAGGACCGCTCGATTGCGCATGGGTTGATGGTTGTCCCCAGTTGCTGACGTCACTGCTCCCCCTTATGCCTCATACCCTCTTTTTCTCGTGAGACCTCATTTACTTCAATTTTCTTTAATTTCTCGTTACAATTTTCTTTAATAGATCAAGCTCCAGGTCATAAAATTAAACCCGCTGCCCCACCCAAACTATCCAGCCCGCCCCTGCCGCGCCTGTTAAAATGTGGTGCCGTCATCACCCGTTTATTATGTTCGGGTTTTCAACCCACACATGTTCTTTAATGTACGGAGTGATTTTAGATAATTGATTTTTGAATTAAGGGCCCGTTTAGTTTGTTGATTCGAATTTTTAGTTCGAGTTGAGATGTGATTTTATGTGAGAACTTTTTACTGTAGTAAAAAAGTTAAATGTGATTGTTTGTAAGAGCTTTTTACTGTAGCAAAACTCAAATTCTAAACTCAAATCAACAAAATGAACGGGGCCTAAATGCATAACGGACAAGTAAAATGATAAGCGGATACAACTCGAATCGACGAAACTCCCCTCAAGATATTAACTATACGGCTATGGCCATTAATTTGTTCTACTTACTTTCAACCAAAATTAAAAAAAAAATAAAACTTTGCTCTACATTTCTACTTACGAGCTAAGTGAGATATTGATGGCTAGTCTTTCTTCCATTGATTAAATCTTTTATCATAATATATTCTATGTGGTACCTTTGTTTCAAGAATAATATTTTGGAATTTGACATTGATGTTTTATCAAATTTTGTCAATGTCTAAATTAGATGCTGCAGTTAAGTGTCACTTTATTTCTAAATTAAAAAAAAAAAAGAACATATATTGTCAAAGTTTTGAATTATATTAATTCAGCCGCATGCATGTCCTTAGTGATCAATTGAAACAAATAGTCTGAAAGTACAATCAGAACCTTTTTTATTATGGTAGAATTCATTTCTCAATCACTTTCCAATTGGGTCATTAATATTCTTCTAATATTATTATCTTACCTATAATTCTTATTATATCACTTATAAAATGGTACGAGGTCCTATTTGGATTGATAAAATATTCTGTATTAGGACTAAGACTAGGCAATATGAAACTCATAATTATAGTAACCAATCTAGCTAATTTGGTAATAAGAGAGATTCAACCCCTCAATTTTGTTTTTTTTTTTTTCCATTTTTCAATGAATTATCCAATCCATATATTTTATATATGTTTGTTTCTGTGTCCTATTTTGCCTTTGACTACTACCTTCCCAAGGGGCCCTTTAAGCTCCCCAACTGAAAGCTCCTCATGAACTTGCTTTTATTAATTCTCCAAAAAAACAAAAAAAAAACAAAAAAACTCAAATTTATATATCGTCAAAATATCGCGAGATAATGATTATTCCCTTGGCCCTTCCACTTTTCGTTTTCAAAACTCACTGACACACACCTGCCACGCTGGCAAAACTGGACAAGATTGCGCCACGTGTTGCCGCCAAAGCGACCGCCCCGTCATCATAGCCGAGCGTTTTCTCTCACGGCTCACATCACATGGCTTAATTCCCCAACAGAAATACCAAAATGCCCCCGCTCGGACTTTTTAGCTTCTGGGTGTTTCCGTCAATTCAAGTCGTCGTACCCATTTGCCATTTTACGGCCCGCAAATGATTGGTGGACAAGTATTTTGGAGAAGGAAACTGTAGGGAGTAGAAAAGCAGGGGAAAACGTAGACTGGAGGAGAAGATCAACAAACAACTACAGTTTGATCGGGAAGAAGAACAACGTGGAACTCTGTGTTGGTATAGTACTTTACGTAGATGATAAACAAAGCAAAGATCCAAAACAAAAACAAAAATATTCCAGAAAGGCCTTTCCATTGATTATTATATATATACATATATATATATATATATGTGTGTCTGTGTGTGTGCGCGCGCAATATGTTTGTGCGTGTATATGAGGATTGAGGACCCCACATATCGTTTTAGTATTAATTTACGCACCTTCCAAATTAACCTTCATATGCTGATATTCTTATATCAACTCATGTGTCAAACTGTGGTCATATATTTTTATATTTATAAGTACAATCTAATTTTTATATTAACTAACGTGTAATTAATTTTTAAATACTTACTAATAAAATAATGATAACTCGCATTAAAAAGTTAAGATTTTGACGTTATATTATCGGATTATTATCACTGACGCTCCCTGAACTTTAGAGTCATTCTCGGTTTGACTTTTGAATTTAAAAATTCTCACTGCATTTTGAATTGTTTCCAGTTAACCCCTTCTGTTGTAATTTCTGTTAAAAACAGATTACAAACAAAGAGGATAACGCAGTCACGTAATCTTTTTATTTTTATTTTTGTTAAAAAAAAGATAAAAACCACATGATTACACTTAACTCTCTCTTTTTCCCTATGATTTTAACAGAAATTACAACAAAATGAGTTAAGTGAGAATAATTCAAAGTTCAGGGGGTAAAGTGAGAGTTTTCACAGTTCGGGGAGCAAACTGAGAATGACTCTAAAATTCAGGGAGCCAGTCACGTATGTGGTCTTTCTGTTTAGATTTCTATTAAAAAGAAACAGATAAAACCCACATGATCACACTTAACCCTCTCTTTTTCCTTCTGATTTTAACAAAACAACAAAAGGGGTTAAGTAAGAAACATTCAAAATTTAAGGGGTAAAACGAGAGTTTTTAAAGTTCAGAAAACAAACTGAGAACTACCCTAAAATTCAGAGGCACTACTGATAATAATCCTCTATTATTTATTTTAAGATGTCACCATATTGTATAACCATTTTGTACTCTCCCTCTTGGTAATTTGTACTATATTTTTCCCGAGTAAGAGTTGTGATATCTAGTTGTCTAGATAGATCTAGCTGAAGAACTACTCAGATATTTGGTTTGTACATAGATTTTTTTCATTTTATAATGGTAAGTAATTGGTCACGACGTTACGTTTGATCTATATATATAAGGTATAAGTTGATTGTTATAATTTGAATATTTGGCTCACTCTCTTAAGTAATAATTGATTAGTAGACTAGAAATATGAAAGTCAAAGTTGTCTTATACATATATCAGTGTCTCTAATGAGTTTGAGCGTGATAGGGTTATCAACTATATGTCGTATATCATATTGTAGTTTAATTACATGAGTATGACTTATCATTGCAAATTAAGTTCTAGAAGAGATCAATATTATCCTTAACATATTTTGTATATAATATTTAGTGGTGTAGTAGATATTATTAACTATCATAACAACGATGATGGTCGGCATAAGCTAAATATATCTCCAGCAATATAGATATATGGTACTAAACTACTAAGAAATCAACTTCTGCCGCAAGTGGAGAACCGTGAGAGCTATAAAAAGTCATTATCTCTTCTGTCGACTAAAGTACTCATATTGTGTGTATATTTGTAGTAAAAGGTAAAAGGAATATTAATGCGCGCGTTATATATGGTACAATTTTTTTATTTTTTATTTTTTATTTTTTTTTTTGCGGATAAAGGAGTTATGTTACTAGTAATTAGGCGGTGGTGATGCATAAATATCTCGGGTTGTATCGTCATTATCACAGACACTTTTTTATTTATTTATTTTTTTACATGCCACATTTCTCCCAAAGGATTAGAAGAAGTATATGTTAGCTTGATCAAGCTGCAAAGGTTAATATTCTGCAAAACATTCAAAGTGGTCCACTCACTTTCTACCCAAGATTGCAATCATATGAGGAATAGACTATATATATATATATATATATAATATGGTAAAAAAAAGAAACGCAAGCTTATGAAGGAGATGTTTGAATATGTTATATGTTATATATATCCATACTCTACTAACCTACGTGGATTATTAAGGTTAAAGAGTTTTTAACAACCCGCTCCAGTATATATGGCAAGATGTATCTATACACACCATGTATATATCTATCTTGCCGATCTCTTTATGTAATATATAATACAAAAACAAATACATATACATACATATATATATATATACACACACACACGCGCAGTGATGATCTGTATATATGGATTGGTAAAACTTGAAGGAGCGTGAAAAGGAATATCATAATACTTCCATCAAATTGTCTCGTTGAAATTAAGCCGCATGTAGATGATCTTTAGCTTGAAATTTTGTTGAGTAATTAATATACGCAAAATCATGAAATTGTTGAAAGCTAGCAAAACATGGCTCACGTGTAATATTAAAGCCTTTTTTTTTTAGAATAATATTAAGGCCAAAGTTTGAAACTAACTATATATTATTTTCGCCTTCTACGTATAATAATATATATATATATATATGAATTTAAGTTAAAAAAAAGCTAAACAAAATCAACAAATTAGAGGCGTACAATATTTGTACACATGATGTTGCATTTACATACATATATTTATACACACACGCGCGCATGCACGATTCAGGTTTGAACATTCTACAGCATAATTTATGTGCCACACCACATTAGTTTTCAATACAATAAAGTACTACATACTTATAAGATCGCATCAAAATAAACGAATAGTCTTATTTTTCAAAGCTAGCTAGCTAGGGTTTAGACTATGATCAGGACGGTCGATGACAGGGATATATATGGTGTTGTGTTTAAACCAAAGTTTGAACTTTGACCGACAAAGAAAAAAGGACGTGGGTGCTAGCTAATTAACAAGAAGGATCACAAAAAACGACGTCGTATTGTGGCTCAGAAGCAGGGATCTATTAGAAAATATAAAAGAAAAAGATAATGAAACTTCTTTAATTAATTATAATTAGCTTGGAAGTACCACTGTGGGTAG